ATTATTATTATTATTATTACACTGCTTCTCATTTTTTAAGCGCTGGGAATGGTCACCTCTATTGAGGCCAAGTGGCTCATCAGCCCGCGTTCTGGAGTGAAGCAGAGTTCAAGAGCTCATGGCTCCTCACTGGATGGGACAGCTGTCCATCAGAAGGCTAACCCCAGCACTGCCAGCTCCCAGTTATACCGCGGAGAGGACTGGAGCTATTCAGCCACAGTATCTTGCTCAAGCAGTGAACTACAAGTGCCCACAACAGGGATTCAAACCCGGAACCCTAACCACTGCTCTGTATCGAATGCAGTCTTTCATCAATCGTTCACGTTATCTTCCGGAAATTAATTCTAAAACATGGATTTTGCCGATTGTATGTCCCACAGAAATGAGGCAGGGCTACGTCCTGCTCCACCCCAAGTCCAGGGCAGCAGGGCTGGAGGGCGGAGTGCTTGCCCATTCAGCCCCACAGCCCCTCCAAGGGCTCGACTCCAGGCTGGAGCCTGCGACAAGCGAAACCTCCACAGCAGAAACCTCCGAGCCGGTTCCCCAATACGATACCGAGCACCAGAGGTGTCCACTTCGTGGGTCATGACTCAAGCCCAGCAACTGACTGTTCCTCTACGTCACTGTTCTGTTCCTCAAGTACAGAAACTGGCATCCACAAGATTATGAGGAAAGTGCAATAAAACCATTCACCACTTTATCGTGACCACTGCGGGTTTCAAAACCTGTTCTAGGTTTTAGACCTCATACAAGACTGTCCTTCATGCTTGCTGATAAAGTTTTTATTTTATTCACCAAAAAGAAACACCGAAGACTTCTGACTTTCTTCTCTGGCAAGCATGGGACAATGTGGCCCACTTTATAATAATTTTTCAAAAAAGGTTTTTAGGAACTTATCATCTGTTATTTAACCCACTCAGAATGTATTCACTGTATGGAACTATTTTACTGTTGTATAGACTGTAGGGTCAAGGGGATGAGTCACCAGTTAAATAAGATGAGTTGAGTTTTCTCAAAAGTTACACAAGGGAGAGTAAAAGGAAAATAATTCAGCAACAAGCTGTGCGCCAGACTGCTGGGCCAGAATGGTTTACAGCTGGACAGGACAAGTTTAACAGAGCCCCTCAGTTCCCTAATGGCTTGGATGGGTGTGGAAAGGCATTGCTACAATGAGCTCCTTCAAGATCATTCATCTCCTCACTCGCTGAGGAAGTGTGAAATCACTCCATGCAGACTAAAAAGCAGCAGAGGCTCACAGTTAACTGAATGTTGAAGCACCTTCAAGACTCTGCCAATTTAACAGTATTAGGGAGGATGAGCAAGTGAATTCCGTTACCAAATTAACTGAAAGATGGAAAATTCCCAGTTAACCCAGGCAGTTTCAAAATATTTCCAGTAGGGAGCTGCATCAGCATGCAGAGGCTGCAAAGGAACAAGTTGAGGTTTATTCCACGGCCAAAACGTTTCTTCTCTTTTTAGCATGGAATAAACGTTTACTTGCTCCTTTTCAGTTACAAAATATACTTGCTTATTAAAAAAAACAGAATAAACAAGTTCTATAGTTTTCTTTCAGCTCTTCTACACCCATGGTTTAAAATTCATTACATAATTGAATGACCTGCACTTATACAGCACTTTTCATCCCAAAGAATCTGTCTATGTGTGTGCTTCACATATAGAAGAGGAGATGCTTCTCAAACACTTGTGGTGATGTCCTGAATCCATTATACACCAACCGAAAAAAGCATTTTTCAGCTGATGCAAAAAAAATATCAACTGAATTAAGGAGGAAATGTAGGGAGGTCAGACCGCTCAAGGCCAACGTGGCATTGATGCCGGGCACTGGGGCAGACAGCCCTGCTCTTGCAAACAGTGGTATGGTGTCTTTAACTACCAAAGAGTCAGCATCCTGGTTAATGTCTTATCTAAAAGACACTATTTCCTACAACACAGAGTCCCACTGACATTGGCTGGGAATTCTGGTCAGCGGAAAGAGTGGCATCTACTGATACACTATCAGCAGCTACCGCCACAGCTGCGCTCGCCTGAGAGGTCTCCCACTCCAGAACCGAGCAGGTCCAGCCTAGAGGACGTTCGAACCCAGAAACCCTGCCGTCAGAAGAGCCCTTCTATAGCAGCCTGCGCTAGGATGTGGGTGACACAGGAAGCCAAGATTAGAAAAATGAACGTATTTGCTCCGGCTCAGTTTTTGGGTTTTGTTCTTTCCAAAGGTTTTGAGGAACCTTTCATCTTAAAATTGTGATTAAAGGAAATCAGAATAGTAATCTGAATATCAGCAAAGCCCCTGATATCAGCTTCAATAGGCAAGCAGGCCAGCCCGTCAACTACAGAGACAAATACCCTATTTGTGTATAGAGCACACAGAGGAAGCACATTTAAAAGGTCCTTTTCCACCTGTGTAACACACCACATCTCTTAAATGTCCGATTTTAGATCTGTTGCACTGAAGCGGGGCTTTAAGAGCAGCATTACGATGGAGAAGCCAAGTATGTCCACAGTGATGCAGGGGGAGGAAGGAACAGGCAGGAGGTTTGTCAGGGTGGTCCAGGGTGGGAGCTTTCTGCCGGAGTCACCATGACGGAGCCTTGTTAAGAAAACAAGCACTTCCTGAGCAGGGGCCGGAGATTGGCGTCTTTGACTATAAAAGGGCAGAGAGTGCAGGCAGCCTGGAGCTCACGACTACAGGGCTGAGAACGCTGAAGGAGATTAATTCCTCACATTCCAGCTACACACAAAAAAAAAAAATCAAATAAGAACAAAAAGTACTTCTGGCAAAACGCTACGGTGGTCTAGCCTGAAGTGGGTCAGAAAAGACCAACCTGGGGACAGATGTGTTTGTTTGCAGCACTTTGGTCAGAAACTTGCATATCAGACAGCGGTGCTGCATGGTGTCAGAATATTCCACTGCGGGAGTTAAGCTGCAGGAGTGATGACTATTCAGACAGCAGGCAAAACTATATATTTGCTTTTGAAAATGTCATCCAGGGAGGTGACCAAGAATGCTGTGCCTGCTTAACCAAATTTTCAAAAATCTACACCATTACAACAAAATCCACTTCTTTACTTTGGACTGTTTGCCACCTCCTTTACTACAGTGATGACATTTTATGTAGGGCCAAAGTAGGTTAAAAAAAAGGTTGCTCAGGGTAGGTAGTTCTCTGGTATCCAAGGCGACAGAACTCCAGGCTTTGGGGCTCAGCTAGAGAAGGCCCTGTCAACCAGAGACTAGCAGGATAGGAGAAATGTGTTCACTTGCAGTAGACCTGGTCAGGTTTCTGGGTGCTGAATTCTGGACATACTGCTGT